GTGTTTTTTAATCCTTACCGTTGAGGTTCTACGCCACCATAACACCTTGGCTCCCGTCTCGATGAGCCTCATTATCACTTTTATCCCGATTTAGATACCCACTGGTCTCTTTGGTTAATATAGAAAATATAGTGAAGCTCCCTCAGTCAAACCTCACCTTAGTAGACGTCTGATCCTTTCAGCCGCACGCCCACCCGCTGCTGCAGGACTCATCCTCCTGATTTATGAATTAAAGTAAGAAGCAAAAACGATTAGGCACAATCATTTATTTTAAATTTTAATGAGCCTTATATGATAATAACAATAATGTGTACAATCACATACAAGTAGCATAGCATGAATCAGAGAAAGTCTTAAAATACGCAAGATTACAATCGGATATAAAAAGGTTAATGAGACTGATCACAAGAAGAGATCATTGAGAAATAATTACTTTGTCTGTCTAGAGGCTGGGCTGTACCGTTTTCATTTTGCGGTTCATAAAGACGGTTCTTACTCCTCAGCTGTCGTCCTTCCACAACAATTGAGACGGCGAAAGAATCTTCGAATAGCACGAAGGAGACGAAGTCACCTTCGCCACTTCCTAGGTGGTTCCAAAGTACCCTATGCATCTGCTAGAAAGCTAGGATATAACTAAGATTTTTGATATTGTTTACCTTATAGGACATTGGAACCAGAATTACTACCACTGTCTTCCTGCGTGATCGGTGTTTCATTTCTGATGAGCTCCCGTTCATCTAAAAAAAGAATATAACATCATTAGCTCGAGAGACATTCAGAAATGATTTTCAAAGGGGTATTTACACAACGATATCAGGAAGACTTACCTATGCTGCTAAGATTAGTCTCTCCAGCCTTGGCAACCGGGCTATCCAGCCAGTAGTCATGTATATCCGAGGAACCTCCGTTTTCAAAGTCCGACTCCGTGTTCAAAACGGCATCACCGCTACACAGGACAGATTCTGCGTTACCAAAATGGGTCCAGAAACAGATAGCATGCGCATTATCTAACTTTAATTTGACAGGCGACATACGCTTCAGGTATTCTCTCCTTGTGGGTGTTCAAAACCCCA